CAACCGGGACTAGAACCCGGTGCCCATATGGGATGCCGGTACCATAGGCGAAGGATTAACCAAGTGAGCCATGGCGCCAGCCACTCTGCCTTTCAAATAAATAAATAAATAAATCTATCTTTAAAAAGATTAGCGGAAAATGGAATTAAAGATAAGTTTGGCGATTGTGCATTTATCCTGGTGTTCAAGGCACCCTGGAATTCTTGAGTTTGATACCCATCTTCAGTTCCTGATTCTAGCTTCCTGCTAACGCAGACCCTAGAAAGCAGTGGTGATAGCTCAAGTAATTGGGTTCCTGCCACTGAGATGGGGGGCCTGGATTGCCAACTGCCAGCCTTGGCCCAAACATAGCCTCAGTCCGGCCCAGAAGTTGCAGGTACTTGGAGAGTGGCCGAGCACTTGGGTGCTCTCTTTCCCTGTTCTCTCTTCCTGTCTACCTCTCAAATAAGTAAAAATAGATAATAAATCTTATTTTGAGGAAAGAAATCTTGAAATCCGTGCATGCATATTTTTCATAATATGCATTTTCTATGAATATTTTGAAGTGTCTTCATATATAATTGTTATCATTAGGGATTTCAGGGAATAATTTCAGTTGAGATATGACTTCAGGAGTAAAAAAAATTCCAGAGTAAATTGAAATTGACCTTTTTTTAATGCTTTTTTTGAGGTGGGGGGGGAGTCACTCGTTTAGACAAGGCGGAAGACAAGTGATAACTCAACAGACAAAAAAGGGCCTTTACTTTTCAAGGCAGCGATGCCAGCACTGACTTGCTACTATAATCTCCATTTCAGTTTAGTGAAATGCGCTTGTTAAAAGTAAGAAATAAGGGAAACAAGAAAGCTCTAATCTGCTAGGCTAATTAATTCAATTTTAGCAAAAGGTAAGCATCAACTATTTTGCAAGGATTCTTCACAGATGACTTCCAACAGAAGTCTTAAGAGACTCATTTTGATTAGCAAGTGAAATAGAATTAATTTTGTTACTCATAATTTATACAGAAAGCTCTGGTTCAAAAAGGCATGAGGCTTTAGAAGGCACTGAAATCATATTCACCAATCAGAAAATATCTTCAATAATAAATCTAGAAATAAACAAGAATCTTCTTTGTCTGATACATATTCTACCATTAGTATCATCTTCGTTCTGTGGAGATGTTTTTGTTTGGCAATATGTTTCTTTTCTATGAAAATCTGTCTTACCATTCAACTGTAGTAGGTGGTGTTTTTTCTTTCATAAAAATGGGCTATAATTCTGAGGCAATAAATGAGTATATCATTTAGGGTAAGTCTAAGAAGGTTCATATTTTCTGAATGAATCCATTGGGCTGTCTAAATAGTCCCAAAGACATCATTCTTCAAGGTCCTATTTTAAATCTAAAAAGGCTGAGTGAAGGCATGATTTTCAGATTTGGGATCCTGAAATTACCTTTCTCATCTTTATTTATTTACTTATCTATTTATTCTTAATGATTTATTTTTACTTATTTGAAAGGCAGAATGAGAAAGAAGGAGGGAGACACACACAGACACACACACACACACAGATATTCATCCACTGGTTCACACCCAGGATGGGTGCTACAGCCATGGCTGGGCTACACCAAAGCTAAAAGCCAGGGACTTCTAGGTCTCCCATGTGGGCATCAAGCACTTGGGCCATCTTCTGCTGCTTTCCCAGGCATGTTAGCAAGGAGATGGAACAGAAAAGTGGAGTAGCAGGAACTGGAACTAGCACGCTGATATGTGATGCCTGTGTGACAGGTGGGGGCTTAATGTGCTGCACCACAATGCCAGCCCTTCTTCCTCACCTTCCTAAAGCTCTTCCACTGCTTTCTCAGGCCATAACAGAGAGCTGGATCAGAAGTAGACCAGCCAGGACTTGAACTGGTGCCCATATGTGATGCTGGCACTGCAGGTGGCAACTTTACCTGCTGCGCCACAGCGCCAGTCCCATTCCACTAATTTTTTGAAGTATTTCATGTGTATACGCACAAGTACATATGAATGTACTTCGTGAAGTTCATAGAAAAATAGAATTAAAAGACAGGTTTATTTTGCTGCAGATATTTTGAAATCCAGACACCTATTTTTTTTGATAATATGCATTTTCCGCAAACATTTTGCTATATCCTCATATATGTGATGTGTGTGTGTATGTGTGTGGGTGTATAAGCATTTACTATATTTTGCTGTTTCATGCACTTTTATAAATTGTTTAATCTGCACACTTTGAGGTAGGGACTATTGTTAATCTCATTTTACAGAGGAGAAAACTGAGGCAAAGCCATAGAGCTCAGTGGTGGCTGAGTCAAGATTTGAATTCACTCCTACTTACAGCTCTGTTGCCTCTCTCCAGGCATCTTATTTAACAAATCAAAAGAAATCCACTTAGCTACCTTCTTGTTTGATGGGGTCAGCTCTCATAAAATCTGTTTTTGAGACTTTATCTTCTTTGCATTTGTGATAATTATTTATTGAGCACAAGGGATGTTTCAGTGAATAAAACTCAAAGATCCTTCCCTTTGTTTAGCCTGCATTCTAATGAGGAGAGACAGATGATGCCAGACAATGATAAATAAACATAATAATTCTTTTTTTAAAGATTAATTTGAAAGACAAAGTTAGAGAGAGAGCACTTCTATCCGCTGGTTCACTCCTCAAATGGTTACAAGGGCCAGGGTTGGGCCAAGTTAAAGTCAGAAGCCAGCAGCCCTTTCCAGTCTCCTACATGGTGGAGAGGGGTCCCATGGGTGGCAGGGGTCCAAGCAATTGGACTGTCTTTTGCTGCTTTCCCAGGCACCATCATCAGGGAGCTGGATTGGAAGTGGATCAGCTTGAATCGACGTGTATATGGGATGTTGGCACTGCAGGCTGCAGCTTAACCAGCTGGGCCACAGCACCGGCCCCAATAAGTAAATTACATGGTATGTTAGGAGATTGTGAGTGCTATGGGAAAATATGCATAAGTGCATAAAAAGAAAGAAGAGTGGGGAGGATGTGGAAGTATCTTTTGTGGTAGGAATGCACAATAAATGAGGTGGCCAGGGGAGGCCCTATTAAGAAACTAATATTTGAGCAAGAAATTAATGGAATTGAGGGCAAGAGCACTCTAGGAAAAAGGGAGCAGCCAGCAGCCAGCACAAAAACTCTGAGGTGGCTCGTGCCTGGCCTGTTCAAGGAATAGTGAGAAGCGGGCAATGGTGGTAGGAGACAGGGAGTGGGAAGTACAGGTATGGGCAGACAGCACTTTGCAGGGTGTTCTGGGGACTTTGACTCTTCCTTTGAGAGAGATGAGGGTCTTTTGGAGGGTTTTTAGCGGAGAAGTGAACTGATCTAAGCATGTTTTCTATTATCACTCTGGCTGTAGAAGGGGCAATGGTAGGAGTCAGTCAGGAGGTCATTAGGTTAATCCAGGTAAAAGAGAGAAGGATGTGGCCAGATGAAGGTAGATGAAGGTGTTGTGGGTAACTGGGCACATTTTGAAGGTAGAACCAATGCGATTCTTTTTTTTTTTTTTTTTTTTTGACAGGCAGAGTGGACAGTGAGAGAGAGACAGAGAGAAAGGTCTTCCTTTGCCATTGGTTCACCCTCCAATGGCCGCCGCGGCCAGCGCTGCGGCCGGCGCACCGCGCTGATCCGATGGCAGGAGCCAGGAGCCAGGTGCTTTTCCTGGTCTCCCATGGGGTGCAGGGCCCAAGCACCTGGGCCATCCTCCACTGCACTCCCTGGCCACAGCAGAGAGCTGGCCTGGAAGAGGGGCAACTGGGACAGAATCCGGCGCCCCGACCAGGACTAGAACCCGGTGTGCCGGCGCCGCAAGGCGGAGGATTAGCCTAGTGAGCCGCGGCGCCGGCCCACCAATGTGATTCTTACTAGATGTGGGTTGAGAGAAAGAGGGGGTTCAAGGATAACCCCAAGATCAGGAGTCAGCTTTTGAACATGGAACACATTTTAATATAATGTAAAATATTAAGAACAACTTAAATGTCCAATAGTAAAGAATTAGATGAACAAATTGTGATACTTCCATACAATGGAGTATAATGGATTCAGAGACACTTTATACATCTGTATATTATTTATTGACCAGCCATATTTACTGAAAAAATTAAGCTGATGATCAAGCAGTGTTCAACCACATTCATATTAAAAGGAAAAAAAGTACTTAATATTTACATAGCAAAAATAAAATACCTAGCAAAATTATAGGAGCAGTTTGGGGTAAATTATATTTGGTACTTATATCTCTATTTAAAAATTTTCCATAGTAAGTTTTTGTTAATTTTTAGAGGAAAATACGTATTCTGGTTGCCTTCATATTACAGAGACTCTGAGTTGCAAGGAGTTGCAAGGCCATTGTATAGTAAAGGGGAGGCAGTGATAGTCTTCCCCATGATTTGGAAAACTACAGAGGTAGTTTTACAGTTATCATGTAATTTTTTTTAACAAGGAGTTGTTCCTGCTTTGAGAATGCACTGAAAATAAGGAGAGACAGATAGAAAAGATCTTGCAAGATCCACTGATGCTCCCTATTCCAATTCAACTACTCTTTAATTAATTGTCTGTCTGATGATTCTTATTAGTTAAGTTAAAAATCACATCCATCTTACTAGAACATTTTCCCTAGTACAAAATGTTATGGTCCCTTTCATTTTTAAAGGGTTCACCCATCTTTCCATTGCATTTGTAGATGATTTTCCTTTCCTTGATATCTCAAATTTCAACATGATAAGCTTTATTATTTTCAAAGATTAAAGTATATGAAGTTCAGAATGCTGTCAAATTTAATATCATTACTGATTTTTTTACAACTCATCCTAGAAAAGGAGACTTTAAAAATAGCATTTCAACAACTCTGTAGTATCCATTTTCAAGTTCCAGTCAGTAGTCCTAGAAAGCAAAATGGTAGTAACAGCTTTTCAGAAGGTGATATAAATATGAACTGGCTGCCTAGATGAAATGATTGATTGATGTGATTTTTCTTTTGTTATTTCAAGGGAGTGAAAAAAATAGAACCTGAATTGTATGAAAAATTTATCAGTCATAGATTTGGAGAAGAAATGTTATATCGTATAGATCTTTGCTCCATGCTGAAGAAAAAACAGAGCAATGGCTATTATCACTGTGAGTCTTCAATTATGATTGGTGAGTATCATTTAAAAATTATGTATTTGTTTTTATTTCTTTAACATCACTTTCTTTTGGCAACTATTTGGAACTAGTTGTATATGCTTGTATGTATTGTTCTCATTGAAGTATTTTCTTAAATGTTGTATTTTGACAATAATACATTGAAAATGTTATAGAGCGTTTTTAGTATTTATATTTGCCACTCAATATTTTTCTACCTATAGTTGTTATAATTCTGTGCTTAAAATATAATGAAGCTTTGAAATGTTGGTTCAAGAGTCATTCCAGTTTAACTTTGTTTCATGAATATGGAGAAAGCATTTTTTCCAATAAAGGCCTTCAGGACCTCACCATTCAAAACCTGGCATTGTCATGCTTGCTGCTTTTGTTTAGGAATAGTATGACCCAGGCCAGAGAGATTTACTCTAAGAAGAGAAACTGTAGGTGACCTGCACAATGTGAAATGTTCAGTTTCTTCCCTAAGGAAAGAAAACGTGTCTTAAGGGGAAGCACATATTCAAACATAGATGCTCTTGTTACATGGCACACGATGAAGACAAACCCCTACGCAGTTGTGTTTCTGGATGGAAAGTGTGTGCACCAAATGAAGATGCTTTAGCCAGAACAGGGCCATTCCCCCAGTTTTCAAAGTGAATATACTTTAGAGGAAGCTGCTGTTTCAAACCAGACATTCTTCTCATTGAATTATGGACTTGAAGATAATCCAAATAATGGACTTTTAAAATAACACAGAAATTCTCGAAGAATAATGTATGGATCTAACTTTTTTCAAGATCTTAAACCCAGATCATTTCTTTCCACATCAACTTGGAGAAAACCTGTGGATATATATTCATACATCCTGAGAGAATCTTAATACTGAAGTTTATGGAATGTTTAAAAATGTTAAAGAGACACAATTTTATTTCCAATTTCTCATTAGAAATACAGAGAAGCTGCATTGCAACTCCTTGTGAGCATTTTCTTCCTGATCTTCTGCCATGGAATCCCTTTATGGGGTGTGTGAGGAAAATGTGGTAGGATGTGGAGGCAACATTTGTTGTCTCAAATGTTTCACTGGCCCATAGCCAAAGCTTTGGATGATGTTATGTTTATTTATCTTTGGGCTACAACTCTTTGCAAGTCTAACTGCACTCATCAATGAAAATCTCACCCCTCCCCCAAAGAAGAAGAGAGAAGAAAGAAACGAAAAAACAAAATCTTAATTCTTCTTGGTGAAAACCAGGAATGAACTATAGTTCAGATATCCTAGGATTATGAAAGCTGTATTCTCTGAGCTTCTTACTTGAGTTGGGTGAATTAATTTTTCTCAGGCAGCTATGTTACATTTATATTTCCTTATGGGAGGTAATTGATTAAATGACGCCCTTTGTAAGACTGATGAGCAATTTAGCGCTTGCAAAGACTAGTTTACTTTCAGCTGTCAGACATAACTTGTTGGAGGCAGTGAGGAATTTGGAAAGGTCTAGAAGGCACTTTTCTGCAGGTCAGTATATTCATAACATCTGCAAGAAAAGGTAAAAAACAAAATGATTTCCTGGGAACTCCAACTGATTTGGGGCTTAACAATAATTATTCAGGGGCCGGCGCCGTGGCTCACTAGGCTAATCCTCCGCCTTGCAGTGCCGGCACACCGGGTTCTAGTTCCGGTCGGGGCGCCGGATTCTGTCCCGGTTGCCCCTCTTCCAGGCCAGCTCTCTGCTGTGGCCAGGGAGTGCAGTGGAGGATGGCCCAGGTGCTTGGGCCCTGCACCCCATGGGAGACCAGGGTAAGTACCTGGCTCCTGCGGTGTGCCGGCCGCAGCGTGCCAGCCGTGGCGGCCACTGGAGGGTGAACCAACGGCAAAGGAAGACCTTTCTCTCTTTCTCTCTCTCTCACTGTCCACTCTGCCTGTCAAAAAAAAAAAATAATTATTCAGGATCAATTTAATGTATGTTGTTGAGTATGCTGTTCTCTCTTGGGTATCATGAGGTACAGAGAAGTAGAAGGCATAGTCCTTAAGAGTCATGCAGAGTCAACAGGCAGCCCATACTACGTCAGAGAACCAGAGAGGAAAGAAGGCTGGATGATAGGGCTTGCATGGCTTGGATAGGACATAGTAGAAAAAGTTTATAATTTTCCCTTTGAACACAGTGTAGGGATGGGGAGAATCAGAATTCAGCTGACTGGGATGAGATGGAGAAACAGAGATGAATAGTAAAGAAAAGAGACTTTCTAGAGCAACAGGTATGATTGTGTGAGAGAAGCAGTGGACTGAGAGGCAGTAATGGATATAGGAAATACCTTGATTGAACCTATAGTGTTATTGGCTAAGGAATCTGTAGAGTTAGGAGGTTGTTAGGTTTGTGTGTGTGAGGAGTTGGTGAGGAAGTGGAACAATTACACAGACTGAGGCAATGAGTATGTAATAAAGCTGAGTAGATGTGGGATAAAAAAGAGTGAAGTTTAATGTTCAACATATCTACACAGGACTGGATCCTAAAGATAAAAATTTCAGTTCCAGAATGTAGCATAAGAGATGTAAGGATTTGGCCCACCTCATACTCAGATAGAAACTAATAAGTCTATAAGACATGGTGGAACCATAGAAAACTAAGAGTCTTCATAGTTGTATAGATGCTCCTTGATTTATGATGGGGTTATATCCTGAGAAATTCATTGTAAGTTAAAAATACACTAAATTGAAAATGAATTTAATATTCTTATCCTGAGGCTGCCATTTTGACATGTAAGGTAAAGCAGCCCCCTGTGATGCTGGCATCTTACATGGGTGCTGGTTTGAGTCCAGGCTGCTCCACTTCCAGTCCAGCTCCCTGCTAAAGGCCTGGAAAAGCAGTGGAGGATGGCCGAAGTACTTGGGCCCCTGCATCCATGTGGGAGAACTGAATGAAGCTCCTGGGTCTTGGCTTCACCCTGGCCCAACCCAGGCTGTTGGGGCCATTTGGAGAATGAACCAGTGTATGGAAGATCTCTCTGTCTTTCTTCTTCTCTCTAACTCTGTGTTTCAAATAAATAATTAATTAATTAAAAAATACCCCCATCCTTTCAAACATTGTAGCTCAACTTACCCTACAAATATTTTTTAAAAAATATTTATTTATTTATTTATTTGAAACTCAGAGTTACACAGAGAAGGAGAGGCAGAGAGAAAAAGAGAGAGAGAGAGAGAGAGAGAGAGAGGTCTTCCATTTGCAGGTTCATTACCCAATTGGCCGCAGTGGCCAGAGGTGAACTGATCCGAAGCCAGGAGCCAGGAGCTTCCTCTGGATCTTCCCATGTGGGTGCAGGGGCCCCAGGACTTGGACCATCTTCTATTGATTTCCCAGGCCACAGCAGAGAGCTGTATCAGAAGTGTAGCAGCCGGGACTCGAACAGGCGCTCATATGGGATGCCAGCACTGCATCCGATATGCCACAGCACTGACCCCAGCTTACCCTACCTTAAACATGCTCATAACACTTGAAGTAGCCTGCAGAAGAGCAAAATCACCTAACACAAAGTATATTTTATAGTAAAGTGTTGGATACAGTACACTATGGGGTATCAGTTGTTTCCACTCATGAGTGTTAGGCTGACTGGGAGCAGTGACTAGACATTCTATCACATAACACTAGCCTCAAAAAAGAGCAAAATCCAAAATGCAAAGTATGGTTACTAATGCGTGTGTATTGCTTTCACACCATTGGAAAGTTTTGGAAAATCCTTAATTACACTATTGTAAGTTGGGGATCATATGTAGTTCATTCAGTCTGTATCTGGTGGCAAATCAGACCAGTAGGATCCCAGACTCAGACTTCATGGGCTGAAATGTTGAGAATTCTGAGAGTTGAGTCAATGAGTATATTTTATCCAGATGTCTCTGCTTGAGAATCACTCTTAAGAGACTTGGACAGCTTATGCCAATGATGTAGTCTTAAGAGGTTTATTGTGGTCACCCAGGGATTTCTAGGAGTCACATCTGGGTGCTGGTTCAGTCAAAAGGAAGGGACGTTTTGTCTTCCATCTGGGGTTGGAGTGTCTTTGGACTGAGGATACCCTCAACTCTCACTAATAATCCTCAGTGCTCCTTTGCCCTTAGGGACTAGGACAGAGCTTCAAAGACGTTGGGTTGCCCCCTCCTGAATCTTTCCCAGTTTCAGTAAGTAGGCGTGGGAGTCTTCTTTATGGAAGACAGGACTGTCAATGTAATTGACCCATTGGCTGACTGATGCATCAGGAAGAGATAGAAAGTGATGGAAATTAGCAATATTATTTTGGCTGAAAGGCATAACTAGGACAAAAATCTTTGAACTTTCTAGAATCCTTAAGCCTGAAACCTTGTCTGAAAAAGACGTTTAATTAGAAAATATATGTAGCTTAAATGCTATTTGTCTCATTGAAGGTATACCTAGTGCAGAGAGGTATTGATACTAGATATGTGTTTGATATCTTTTTTCATGTACTTTTTGCAGTAGAAATATGAACCTCATTGTGCTTATTTTATAAATGATTTGTTACTCTAGTAATTTATAAGGCTACACTTTTGATGAGTTTTAAAATTTTTTAAAATATTTATTTTATTCATTTGAAAGGCACAGTTACAGAGAGAGGCAAAGAGAGAGAGAAAAGGAGAGAGAGAGATCGTTCTTCCATCTACTAGTTCATTCCCCAAATGGCCATGATGGCCAGGCCTGCCTGGGCTAGATTGAAGGTCCAGGTCTTCTACACGGGTGCAAGGGCTCAAGGACTTAGGCTGTCTTCTGTTGCTTTCCCAGGTACTTTGGCAGGTAGCTAGATGAGAAGTGGAGCAGCTGGGACTTGAACTGGCGCCCATATGGGATGCTGATGTTGCAGGTGGTGGCTTTACCCACTCTGCCACAATGTTGGCCCCAAGTTTTAAGTTCTTTTAAAATATATTTTAGCCTCTCCAGTCTTTAAAATTTGTTCATGGATCCCCAGTTGTACAATAGATACCTTTAGGATATCTGTGAGGATAAAACAGTTTTTATAATAAT